AAAAAAAAAACTTTGAAGAAAACATAAAAATGGTATTGGTTTACAATCCAAAGAATTAATATCCATGAACTCAAGGAAATAATTGAGTAAGTACATGATAAGAAGAGAAAAATCTCTTATAGAACAATCTTAAGTAATTTATGTGAGCCGTGTGGTTGGCTCACATAAATTAATCCTAGCACTTGGGAGGCAGAGGTCTGAGTCTGAGGCCAGCCCAGACTATAGAGTGAGTTCCAGGACACCCAGGGCTACACAGAGAAACCCTGTCTCAAAATAACAACAAAGCAACTTATGTGGATACCCTGCCTCCCATTAAGCAGAAGCATAACTGCCAGTCTTTGAGTATGAGCTGTACAGAACCTTCTTTGAAAGAAAGGGCTTTACAGTAGCGGGGCCTCAAAAGTACCACCTTGACCATGTGATCAAGGTCAGCATTAGCAATGATGTCATATTGGTGACCTGTGTTCCTTTTATGATTGATACTTTGCCTTTGTTACTGCTATATCTAGCCCAGCATGATTTCTGGGCCCCTGACCTGGGTGGCAGGAGAAGAGAGCAAGGACAAACACTCAGATACACATACAGAAGAGCTGAAATCATGTACGCTCTCCTTGTGAAGCCGGACCAATTACACAACAACCGGGAACCTCAGTGCGCTAGGGAAGGAGAGCTTAGTCAGTGTGGGTGGTCTCTGTGGGGAACCAGCCTCAGGCTGTAAACACCCAGGAGGAGGAAGCTGTGATGGCTGCCCTCTTTACACTGTCAATATTCCCTCACAGAGTAGAGGAAGGCTTTGCCAGTTCCCATGGGTTTGGGGCAGGGGTTCTTCTCAATAGGACACATTCACTCAGGACTTTATCCACTCCTTACATATTCACTCAAGTCTCCCTCCACCCCTGATTATGTGATAGTTTTCCAAACCCCATCATAGTTCTGGAGATGTATACAGGGGTATGGTGTGTGAATATATATGTATGTGAAGGCCTGAAAGACATCAGGAGTCTTCATTGATCATTCTCCACTTTATTCATTAAGGCAGGGTCTCTCAGTCCACCACAGAGCTTGTAAACCCAACTACTCTGGATAATCAGCTTATTTCAGGGATTCCTCGTCTTATGCCCTCGACTGCTGGAATTACCCAGCATTTATGTGAGTTCTAGAGATTCCTGTTATCACACCTTAATGGTGGGTGCTTTACCTACTGAACCCTCTTCACAGCCCCATAACCCTGTTATAAACCATGAGAAAAATATTAAATTCTAATAAGCTCCTACAAAAAGCCTTTACGAGAACTCAAAATTGTCAGGTTCAACAAAAACTCAGAATGGGTCAACTCCAAGACAGGCCTGAGGTCACATAATGACTAAATGTATTACAGAACCACAGGACAGAACAAAAGATATTGTGAAAACCAAGATCTGAATAAGTCATGGAATAAAACTATCAAGATTAGGTGAAAAGATATACAAACTATCTGCACCATTTCATCAGTTTTCTATAAATTCAAAAATGTTCTAGGCATCAAATCTCTTTGAAACCACCACTCAGGGGCACCATAGCTAATGACTGCGGAACTGTGTTGGTCTTTGCTTCCCAGCGCACTAACACAAAGTGTGGCATGTTCTCTGTAAGGGTATTTGCTGATTGGGAACTTGATCTTTTATATGACATGTGATCGGTTGAATGAAGAGTTTTGCAAGTTTGGATTTTCTTGTCTTCCAAGGTCAATCCACTTACTCTAGAACTGGGTGGGAAGGGGGGGGAAGTTTATTCTAGACAAACTAGAAACTAGGGTTCAGAGAGATCCCGGTTTGCCTGGGGTTACGCAGCCAGTGAATGACTTTTGGACTTGTATTCCGTCTTCTGTATTTGAAAACTTAAGTCACTGGGTTTGTTTCCTCTGCTATACAGAATGCCACACACTCTGTGAGGTCGTGGTAGGGTAAAATAAGCATGAGGTGTCCAGTGGGCACTGGCTCTGTGGTGGTGATTACATGGTGGAGGTACTCTCGGTGCCTTTCAATCTTGTCTTCTCCATGCTCCAGGGACTACAACAGGGACAAGCCTTCGATTCTCCTTAATTTCTTCAGCCTCAGCACAATAACATAACTATTTCACAGTGACTGTCACAGGGTGTAAGAATGGGTTTAATGCATCTCAACTTCATGTCAGGCCCAGCACCCCGCTTTTGCCTCCTTAGGGTGGAAGACTGGCAGAGGCCCAGAGAGCAGCCACTTTTTTTCCCCCCAGAAGGAAAGCAGGGTAACACTGGAAAACTCTCCACGAAAACTGTGCCTGCTTGCAGAAGCTGTACACCAAAAACTTATTTGTGTTAGTGCAAACAAATGGGATTGATGTTTGGTGGCTGCGGTGTGGAGAAACAAGGATTCGTAATGGCTTTCCTGTCCAATCTGGGCCTCCTAGGCAGGCATAACTGCTACCCAGCAGTGGCTGGGTGGGTAGGCACTGTGGTTTTGGGTTAAGGCAGTCTAGGCAAACTCTCTACCCTGGTTCTATAGTCTAATTTGGATCACCATTCAGCACGTTAACTGTCTCCCCTGGCGTAGCCTCTGGCCTGGTGGGGTTGGAGAGGGGATGGGAAGAGACAATACATGGGTTAGAATGTGACAGCAGCCGAATGAGACGCTTCACAAAAGGAAGAGATCGTTCACGCTCAGAGGGATTTCATCAAACTGAACGTTCTCTCTAAATAGAAAGCTTGAGGATTTACAAACAGCTCTCATGAAGTCAGCTCTTAAGTGACTGCAGAAAATTGTGCCTCTCATAAAGTCTCAATTTGTCTTATTTATGGGCAAATTTCCATCCCATTAGAGGACCCTGAGTTATAGATGTTCACCACATCCTGCTCCCATACAAGTCTAAGTAAAAATCTTCTCTGAATTAATCACCTTGTTCTTCGGAAGCACTCCAAGTTCACCTTTCACCCCTAAAATAATTAACTAAAAGTCGCTTTCAGAGAGGAACCTTTTAGCTGCTAAGCCAACCAGTTTTCCTGGGGCATATGCAATATTTTATTCTTTAAAAAAAAAAAAAATCTGAGGTACAAGTTCATTTCATGACAGAGATATAAGGGTTTATCCCAGAGTCACAGGAATGTTGAGTCCTATGAGGCCTCCATAGCTAGTCCTGGACACAGGTCAACATGCCCAAATAGATTCACATCCATCCATCCTTGCCTCTCTTCTGTAGTTTCTCAAATGCATTTGAAGCTATCTGGCAGGATCACCAGTCACTGCGAGGGAGACAGGGTAGACCAACCAGAAACAGTGGGCGAGAGCATCATACGAAATGGACCACTGCAGTGTGACAAATGTGATACAGTTTTCATAAAGCCAATTTTTAGGTCTATACGGAATAAGTTACAAACTGTCCCATCTCAAAGTGTATTAGTTATTACCTCTAGGCAGTAGTAAGCTAGGAGTGAGGGGGACAAGAATGTAGACTTTCATCTTTTTTACTTACACTTACACTTTTTTACTTACACTTCTAATTTTACATCAAATATATAGTAGTGAGTATATACTATATATACATATATATGTATAATATGTATGTATAATAATATATATAATAGGTAATATATATACATCAAATATATAGTAGTGAATAAACATCCCCACAGGACGGTCTTTTAACGTGTGGTGCTGCATCGTCATCCGTAAAAAATTAACCTTGATCTATCTTCCCCCAGGTGGATAAAGCTTGACATTAAAGGCAAAGTAGCAATGCTTCTAGATAGTATCTTTGTAACTTTGGGCTTGTGCCTACCCAAGTGCTTATTTCAGTTAACCGTTATGTGAACTTTTGGTATATTTCACCCTAAGAGTGAAAGGCTTGGAAGAATGGCTGATAATAACAACCGTCGAACGGAAGTTAGAAGGGAAACGTGGGTAGAGGCTGCTGCAGAACCGCGGAACTGCCAGCTGCCAACAGTACCCCAGAGATGGGCCCATGGGCATCGTTGTGCCATTTGCTGAGGTTAGGAATGTCTCCCTGAGACCCTATAGGAAACCAAGACCAAAACACAGGTATCTGAGACCGCTCTAATGAACCCCTTCCAAGCCACATATGATGCTATTCTTGAACTTGCTTCGTGAGAAGTAGAAGGGATAAATACTTGATCAGACTTGATGTATCCATTTTGCAAAATAAGGAGCAGTCTCAACTCAAGTTCGTTCTTTGTTTTCCTGTGGGTTCTCACGACCCTGGAGACAGCCTCAGGTCATGGGGGAGGACTCCCTGATGTCTCTGAACGTGTGACATCGAACACAGTGTGTGGTTTGTACTTTGTCACTATGGGATCATGTTGGTCTCAACCAGAGGCTGGCAAACTATGGACCATGTGCAGTGCCTGCCCCCAGCGTGTTTCTGTTAAGTTTGTGACCTTAGAATGTTTGAATACTTGCAATGGTTTTAAAAATCAAAATAAATGCTGCTCTTCCTGCTGGGTAAACCAACCTCACAAAGGCGTGTGCTTTTTCTTCGCTTTAGAAGTTTATTACCTTAGACAGTGCCTGATATTACGAGACGCTGAATAACTTTGTAGGTGTTCAACTTTTTAACTAGATATTGGGGGTTGTATAGGAAGCACTTCACTATTTAGGATTGTAAATTACGGGCTGGAGAGATGGCTCAGCGGTGAAGAGCACAGAATGCCCTTGCAGAGGACGCAAGTCTAATTCTCAGTGCCCACATTGCAGCTCACAACTGTCTAACTCCTTTTCCAGGGGATCTGACACCCTCACACAGATATACAGGCAGTCAAAACACCGACATACATAAAATAAAAGTAATTTAAAAAGGATGTAAATTACAATTACTCTACGCCACTGTCTCTTTTAATCCAGAAAAGCTAAAAGTAATTAAGCCTCTAAGCAGGCCTCTGTCTGAGAACACAGAGGAAGGGAAATGAGAGGAAGGGAAGGGAAATGCTGGCACCTACCGGCCTTGGACTCTCCTGCTGCATGGCAAAAGGAATATAGGCTTTTAAAGAAAATACTTTATTTCAATGAGTTCCATGATTTTTGCATGTTTCCTTCTGTTTTTTTCCTTTCTTTGACCCCTTCAAAAGGGAGAGGTAAAGCTATCCCAGTTATCAGAAAATTCAAGTCTCCCTCTCTTTGGTGGACTGTCTGCGAAGGTGCTTTCATCCAAGAGGTCTCCCAGATCCTGGGGGCTACCAGAGGTCAGTTCAAAGGACTCTGCTGCCTCCAGAAGTTCCATGTCACTTCCATCTTCTTCAAAAGACTGCTGGAATAGGTCATAGATGGTCTTCTGCTTTGGGTCCTTTATTAGAGAAAGAAAAGAAAATGTAAAAAGCAGCAGCTAGCCCTAACACCGACACTCATGACAGCACTAAGGTGAGAGATTGTGCATATTCTTCAACCAGGGACCTACAGTGCTCATCGGCCTGGCGGTAAACCAGTATCCTGAAAGAGATGTCCCCTTCCCGCTGTCTTCTCTGTTGCTCACTGGCTAAAGACAAGCAGAAAAGATGGGTACAACAAAGAGGCTGCTCTCCCAGTAAGATGTATGATGGGAATGTTTTTTTTCCCATTCATTTCTTATTTTCCATATCCACACTTGAATATTACAGTAGCTCCAGTAATCTCACTTCTTCCTAAGCCCAAGATTCCTTTTGTTACACCATGGGCTCTCTCGTGTCTACCTTAAGACTGAAGTTGCCTTCCTGGCTTTCTGCAATTAGGTCTCACTGTAACCAGTTACTATTTCTTAACAGACTTCCTCCACACTGATGAACATCCTTGAAAACTGATCAGGGGAGCATATCACATAAGAACTCCAGATTATTGCATTAAACTGTGCCCTAGGATCCCAGCCTTTCAGAACAGGAAGTGATACTAAAGACCACTGAGGCTGAATTTAGTGTGTGCTTCATGTCCTTCCAAAGGATGCACTCATCAGCCCCTTTGTGAACAAGAGCAAAGTCGAAACTGCAATGCATGGCCGCCCAGTCCTGCTCATGCCCATTTGATTATGAGGGTAACAACACCACTCACAACCTGGAGCATGCACAATTAACTGGAAATGAGTTCCAAAATCAGATTATTCTTTCATTTCCCCTCTTGGAAGGAAGGTTGTTTTACTGAACATAAGGTCTTTTTGCTTTTGTCTCCACAAAGGAAGCATTTTCTTTTTCCAGTTGCTAATGGAATTCTCAGCTCTATCTTAATAAAAATAGGTAAGCTGATAAAGTTTTAATAAAAATAAATACTGATAAATCTCATTTATATCACTCTGCACTTGTAGTTTGGGCAGAAAGTTTTTAATGGGTTCAAAGTTTCTGAGTGAAAGGCCAAGATGAGAAAAGGGTTGATCAGAATCCCTCAGAAGCCTTTTTCTTTTCAAAGGGCATCATTAACTCAGGTGTCCTTAGCACAGTAAACACCCGCATGAGTCAGCGTGCCTTCAAAACTTCAAGGGAAGGCCATTTTAATGGTACCTTACTTCATGCCACCATGCTTCCCACTATGACGATAATGGACTAACCCTCTGAAACTAAACCAGCCCTAATCAGATGTTTTCCAAGAATTGCCATGGCCATGGGGTCTCCTCACAACAGGATCTCATTCAAACAGAGAGAAGCAGCACTGAGTGAATGTGAAAGGAGCACATGAAGCCCTGAGTCAACCTGTACTGTTGACGTTGGCACGCCCCCATGAAAGACCTACCACCTCAGACCCACGGGAATGGTAAAGTCTCTGGTAGAGAGCAAACGTTGGCTGGGTGTGCAAGGAGAAGTATTTACAAACAAATGACCGGTGTGTGCAAAAACTAACCCCCACAGCTTCCTGGCCCAAGATGACTGTATCTGGGACGGCTTCCCACCTAAGCCTCCAACCAACAGTAGCTAACTCCTCTTTTACAAGGCTATACAAAGTAAACATGATGAGGTTCTGGCTTGTTTTGTAAGAGCGGCTGCTTCTAGAAAAATAAGCATAGCCTATCTGATCCCAGCTTTTCTGTATGCATGTCTGTGCATCTGTCCTTTTTCCATTCCCCAGTCACTCCAGTTGGGTTTCCAGGACTAAGCTGTGTAGGATACGGCAAGGCATGATGGCTCCATGCTCTCCAAGTTGCCCAGAAGCCTCTGAAAGCGTGCACCCATCATGGGAGGATGTTCGCTGGCCTCTTACGCTTTTTGCTACGAGAGCTGGTGTTACAGAGGAATTAGATTAAAAAATTAAAAAATTAAAAAAAAAAAAAAGAGTTGAAGTCTGTCAACCTATGAAAGATAGGAGATGCATCTCTTGGCATGTCCTTGAGAGGAATACATTTTGAAGATCAATGTTCAACAACAGGAAACAGATACTCCATGTAAAGTCTTCAGAAAAAAAAAAAAAAAAACTAAACAAAACAAACTCTTGGATACTGTCTATGTATTTACTAAATAGCTTAATATCAGTCTGTAAATTAAAAGTAAAACAGTGGAAGAAATTGTTTACTAAATGCATCTAGAAGGTAATGAGAAATGGCATGTGTACAAACTTTTTGTTGAAAATGATTTTCAAGAATCAACTAAACATAGACCTTAACGTATGACCATAAAATTAAGGAATTTTAACTTAAAAAAAAAAAAAAAGAAGAAGAAGAAGAGGAGGAAGGAATTGTGGGTTAAGGTGGAAAGGCTTCTTTCTCTGGCTGGTCCACATGCCATGTGACATTTGACTACGCTGGGACAGTTCTGTGGTGGCCCTGCGGTATGGCTGGTATTGCTGTCTTATGGGGACAACTGAACAGCTGCTATGGGGAATTTTCCATCTTTTTCTTATGGCCTGATGAGAGACAGCAGCTCAGCCTTGCTCTTGCAGAGTCTTTAGGGCACGTGGGTAGCAGCAAGAACCACCACCACTTCCTCATAAGGGATGCACACCAATGGACAGAATGACTGTGGACCCTCCCATCCTTCTCTCAGGACCCAAAGGCTTGGCAGCCAGCTCACTGCCTCACTTTATGTAGTGACACGGGGTCATGTGTTTTGAGTTACCTGGTAGAGATAATCGGTAGCTTCTGTAATTTCCGAGAAATTGGTCTCAGAAAGCCCGGCTTCCCCCAGAACTTTAATCTTCTCTTGAATCATAGGCCTGTGTGGGAGAAATAATCTGTGGTAAACACAACCTACCCAGAACCCAGACTGACTAAATGTGCCCCCTTTCAGGGACTTGAGGGACTGTGATGCAGTAACGATGGCACATCTTTGCATCTCTCAGTCCTTCCTGAAGTACTTTCTCCGTCTCAACTGGAAATAGTCCACTCTTTGTACATAACACCAGGAAATAAATCCTGCCTCATTACAATAAAAACCTGAGTTCGCTGTCAGGAGCTGCCCCATGAGCAAAGCCACTTACAAAGAATGGAAGTAGGGTGATTTGCCTGCAACTCCACAGACACCAGGCTGAACAGACATGGAGAGCGGACACTCATGGGATAACTGAAGAACTTCACATCAGGAGGAAGGAAAGGGATTGAGAAAGAACCCGGAGAAGTTTTACTCAGATGATAGACACATGTTGAAATGTGGCCCGTTAGGCCTGGGGGAGCAAACCTCAGGACCACAGCACCACAGGAGTCCAAGGTTCAAGGATTTGAAAGTCCAAGACCGTCTGGGCTACAGTGAGACCTCAAGGCCAGCTTAGGCAACTTAGGGAGACCCTGTCTCAAAAAATGAAAAGGATTGGGTGATAAAGCTTAGCGGCAGAGAACTTGCTTAGCTTATGGGAAGCTCTATGATCAATCCTCTCTAACACACACACACACACACACACACACACACACACACACAACACATTGCAGCCTACCATGAAAGTACTACATGGTTCAGAATAAGCCACTTTCTCCATTCTCCATGCCTAGCCTTGAAAACAGTGACCATCATATCAGATCACAAAAGAGAAAAACCCACCTGTCTTAGAAAGTGCCATAGCTGAGAACAGACTGTTTCTTAAGCTAAACTCCAGCTAACATCTAATCTTTTCTCCAACTTGGGCCAGTGGGAAGTCACTTCCCTTTATTATTACTGATTTTTGTGTGGATATAAACATGTTTTTGTTTAATCCCAGGTGTGGAATGGGATGTGGATTCCGATAGTCTACAGCAGCAGACTATTAGCCTCATTAGCTGTTGCCAGCTGCAGATAGTTTTAATCTGAGGACTCTGGAGAGAGAACAAATGCCAGAGCTCAGAGAGTGTTGGAGAGCTTTGAGAAAGGACAAGGCTCCTTCCTGTTACTTGCCTCCTGCAGCTTCTGGTTGCTGTTGATACAGTGAGACAAGAAGCTGGAGATCTCCTGAAATGAGGATTTGACTGACTCCAAGGAACCAATGACCCTAACTAGCAGGAAGCAGCCAAGAGAACTGCATCCGTCTCCCACTAACCCTTTCTCCCTCCTACCTAGTGTTGGAAGGATTGGGGTGGAGTAGGCAGAAAGATATAAAAAAAATATAAATAAAAGAATTTTTTAAAAAGTGTGCCAACAGGTTTTTCCCCTGTACCCTGCAGGGAACATTAGTGAAGAAAACCAAACATGGCCAGTAACTGGTCTCAGCAAAAGTGAAAGCACTGAAGGAGCAAAGAAACCACACCCTCTGATCCACGCCAGTTCACCTCCTCATCCAGGTCACCCACTCAGGCATACCAAAGGTAGTCATCTGCTGTGCCTTTTGCCACAAGGTAGTGAATGCCCACAGAGTTCGCCTGTCCAATGCGGTGCACGCGGTCCTCGGCCTGGATCAGCACCTGTGGGCCCAGGGAATGAGACAGTTAAGGAAAGGCCTTAGGAAGCCCAGCCCACCACAGCGAGGGGCACCTATCCATCAAAGCCCCCTGAGCTGCCTCTATAAAACATTTATAAAACTGAAAGAGACTCGAACCTCAGGACCTGATAGCAGAAGCCATGCTTAGGCACTGTGTGAGGGCTTGTGAGGAAAGCATGCATACAGGCTCTGCCTCCGGTCTCTGTGCTGAGGGGCAAATGACAGAAACAGGCCCACTTCCATTTCTTATCTCTGGAAACTTAGAAGCTGTATTTCAGGGGCTGCAGACGGGCCTCGGCAGTTGAGAGCACTTGTTCTTGAAAGGACCTGGTGGCTCACAACCATTACAACTCAGTTCCAGGGGATGTGATGCCCTCTTCTGACCTCCAAGGGGCACCAGGCATGTATGTGGTATACTGATGTATGTTTAAGCAAAAAAAAATCTTACACATAAAATAAAAATGTATCTAAAATTTAAAAAAATTATCTTCCAAATACCTAGATATATCAATCCAGAAAGGGGGTCCTGAATGAAGAATAGGATTGGATATTGTTTTTATGTGCTGATAAGCCCCTTAATGACTGACACCAGGACAGTTTTATGAATAGCTTCCAACCCATCACTAAAGCAATGGCTGACATGTAGCCAGTAAGAGCAACATGTCAGAAAACTGGAGGGAAAATAGTATTTTTCTGAGACTCAGAAGAAATGTTTATGAATTCAAACAAATGTGTTAGAACTGTCCTCATATCCCTTAGTTATCAGTCACATCAAGAAGACAATGACCCAGACCTTGTATTTCTCAGTCCTGAGCATGCCCAGGGGGATTCCAATCAAGCACATTCCTTACCCCTGGGTTCCAAAACAGCTCAGCAAACACCACCAGGTCAGCTGAGGAGAAGGTGAGGCCCATGTTGGCGGCGGTGATGGACAGCACCGCCACGGTGCGCTCTTTGGACAGCTGGAACTTCTGGCACAGATCCTCCCGTTCTGCCGAGGGGGTGGAGCCATCAATTCGGATGAGCTGTACTTGCTGTATGACAATGGGGGAAACAGAGGTGAGCTGCAACAGTATCTAGGAGCCGCCCAGCCGGCTAGTCCGGGTAGGGCCCACAGACAGAACCACAATGCTATCCAACCCTCTGCATTCGGGGCTGTCTCTCCTTTTATAAAACTGAAGGTTGGACTAACACAATTGTATAAGCACACTCCTTCCTAAAAAAACAATACAAACAGACCTTTGGTTCACGGTGCTGAGTTCCAGTACAGTAGCCTTGTGTAAATGTATAGAACAGTATTACCACCAGGATTCCAACTTTGATACAACCCACGGATCTTCAGGTTTCCTATGTTATCTGTGTCCATGTGCGTGTGTATGTTTGCCTTGGTGTATGTAGGCATGTGTGTGCCCACATGTGCACCCAGATGCTGTGGGGCTGAGCTTTTCCCTCAGCACCATTCTCTGTGGCTGTCAGGTGTCGTCTGTATCGGTAGCCTGCTCACGGTGCTGCGGCGCAGTATCCATGGCACACGCCCACGATCCCATCCACAGAAGGGCACCTGGGCAGGACCCACTGGGGATTACTACGGTAAAGCTGGTAGGATGTTCGTGAACAGGCTATTCTGTGTGAACTTAAGTGTTCATTTCTTTGAGGTAAATATTCTAGAGCCAATTTCTGGAATATAGCACTTGCATGCTTAGTCTGGCTGTTTTCTTTTAAGAGGCATTTAAAATATTCTTCTTTTCAAATGATAAATACTGTAAAACAGAAGTAGTAGTAACATTTCCGATCTATTTTTCCTATTACTCTTTTCTCAATGTATATTGCATATCTTTAAAGAAAAATTATATTTTTCACCCTAAATCATACTATAAACTACTGAAATAGTTCTACATTTTAAAGTTTTAACGCCTATAATTATGTGACAATAGATAATTTAATCATTTTTCTATTTCCTTTTTTGTTGTTGTTGTTGTTGTTGTTTTCCAAGACTTTTGAGTTTCTCTGTGTAGTTCTGGCTGTCCTGGAACTCGCTTTGTAAACCAGGCTGGCCTTGAACTCTGCCTGCCTCTGTCTCCTGAGTGCTGGGATTAAAGGTGTGCTCCATCACTGCCCATCTTCTTATTTCTATAGATTTAGGGAGCATCTAATTTTTTCTAAAACAGAGGGATTGGTAGGTATTTATTCATCAGTAGGGGAGTTAAAAAAAATCCCTGTAATATATCTATACAGTGAGGTATTTAGCACTTAAAAAAAAAACTTTACAAAACAATGATGAATCCTAGTATATGAAAAAAAAAAAGAAAAAAAAAACCCAAAACAAACAAAAACCAAAAAGAGAGTACATAGCGAATGATTCCACATGTATGTCAAACTCCAAAAGATGCAAAGCAGTCAAGACTGAGTGCAGATGAGCAGGGCTTAGACAGATAAGAGCAGGAAGGATCACAGAGGGGCGGGAGGAACTCGGGGCAGGGGGAATGGACGCGTTCACTGTCTTATCTATCGGCCCAGTTTGCGCGTATCACACGGCAGCGATACCTCAATAAAGCCAGCACGTGGTTATTTCTTTAGGTTACTAAAACTCACATACCACAGTGAAAGAGGAAAAAGTAAGATCCTTGCCATCACTGCCAGGTAGCTTTCTGATAAATAAGCAGAGTGCAGCCTTGTCAGCAGTGCGGCCGCACACACTTTAAGGCCCCGCTGACCTGATGAAGGAAAACAAACTCTCGCTGAGTGTGGTAGTGCACACCTGTAATCCCAGCATTCAGAGGCTGGAGGCTGGAGGATTGCAAGTGTGAGGCTAGTCTGGGTTACACAGCAAGATCTTGTCTCAAAAAAAAAAAAAAAAGGATACAGCCTGTGTGTTACTTACTCAGTTACTGGTGGAAGTGAACTGTTAAAAACAGCCACTGCTGTTTCTTCTTTCAGCCACCTTTTATTTCCACTAGTGACCGGTACTGGTCTTGTATGCAGCTACCCCTGTTTCTATGCTATGGAACTTGCTGCTAGTCTCCCTAGCAGATTCCCTTATATGAGTTTTCTTCCAAATCCTCCTTTATTTTGTGTTTAGGAATATCTTGGCTTTCTTGAGTAGATGGTTCAGTGAGAAGCCCAGGACCCACATGTGAAAGGAGAGCCGCATAATCACAAGTACAGTGAACAGTGAGCTAACGTTTCATTTAATTCCCCTCCCTGCCTCAATTACCCAGACAGCTATCTAAATTGTTTGCTGAATAAATGAAAAGAATCCTCGATTGTATGTCCTCCAGATGCTGGACTGCACAATTCAGTGTTAACGACTTATTTATCATATGAGACTTAAGATGTTCAGGGTCAGGTCTCTGATACTGCTGTCCTTTCTCATACCTTCCATACCTCTCCTGCTATTTTCTGAGACGTCCCTTAGGATCATAGGTTTTCTTTATGTTCCCTTTAAAACCCAAATTCAATTGTGCTGAGGTGTGCAGGTCTGTAACCCAACTGTTTGGGAGGCTGAGACAGGAGGCTCACAAGTTCAAGGCCCTACATGGTCAACCCAGTGAGACACTGTATCAAATTTTTAAAAAGTAATAAAGGGGGCTAGGGATATAGCTCAGTGGTAGAACACTTTCAGCAGCTGAACCATCTCTTTAGCCCTGGCCAGGGTATTTTAAAAAATAACTCATTTTACTACAGTTATTTGAATTCCAAAATATTGTACTAAAATGTATACATTCTAATAGTTCTGCAATTAATTGCCTTGGGTTTCTCAAAAACCCTGAAGGTCCTCTAGATAATACAGATTCAGCTATTTTACCCTGTTCCTAAACCATCTCATAGGCAAGAACCAAACCCAAGAGAGTTAAAAGATCCACTTCTACAACTTCCAGATAAAAACACCAAGAGCAAAACATTTATAGCCTTATTTAGTGAAAAATTTCGTAAATTAGTCACAAAAAAGCATAAGCCACAAAACAAAACATGGATAAACTTGACATATAACTAAAATGATAAATCTTTTACTCAAAATTAAGTTAATGAAGTGAAAAAACAAGATAACTGATAAATAATTAGTAGCCAGAATTCATAAAGAATTTTTCTTAGTCAACAAGAAAAAAAAGGACAATCCAACAGAAAAAGAGGCCAAAATAGATGTCAACAGAATCTTCATAGACTAAGCCAACCTGATTCCTACACACCTGAAAGATGACATATTTTCGTGGAAGTCAGAGGAATGCAAATGGGATCAAGAGCAAAATCAGTTCATTTACTGCCTGGCAAAAGTAAAGTCGTAAACATCTGATGATATGAAGTGTGCATGAGAACACAGGGCTGCGAGAGCTCTTTGTTGGGATCATAAATCTGAGCAGCTACCTTTAACGGCAATCCGGGAAAGCTGAAGATGAGCCTATCCTGTGCCTGTGGAAGACCACGCTCGGCCACACACAGCCTCATCTTCAGACTCACTAGTGGCAAGACTCCGAGCGAAGGCCAGCATGCATCAGCAGTAGGTGGACTAGGGGGACGGCCACACAGCCCAACAGTGCTCTGCGGCGGTGTATGCCCGGCACACCTGCCTACAGGAATCTCACCTTACGGAGGAGTCTCACGAGAGTGTCGAGGCAAAGAGCAATGGCAGACACTTGCACTGCGATACTGCTGATGCAAATTCTTTAAGCACAAAGGGACCAGATTTAGTAGGGGAAAGACACTGGTGGCTATTCCTGTTTGTCAACTTGATTACATCTGGATTCAAATGGCTATGCACACCTAGGGGGGTTTTTCTTAATTAAATCATTTCAAGTGGGGAAAGATCCATTTCTTCCAGATCTTTTGAGGTGGGAAGATCTACCTTTACTCTGAACCACACCTTCTACTATATAAAAGGCACAGAAGAAGGAAGTGCTGTCTTTTCCTGCTTGCTCTCACAGGCATATCCATTCCTTCACTGGCCTACTTCTTTGGGATTCTGGGAAATACTGAAGACCAGCTAAGACATTCAGCCTTGTGGACTGAACAACTACTGGGTTCTTGGACCTTCCATTCATAGTCAGCCATTGTTGGATTAGCTGGACTACAGCCCATAGTCATTCTAATAAACCCTCTTTCTATATATGAGAGATTCACTTTATAAGTTCTGTTACTCTAAAGAACCCTCACTAATACAGACACGCACTAGATTTAAGACAGGGCCTCTGGGGACGGAAGGAGCGGAATGAAATTAGATTACTTACTGCAGCCCAAGTATTTGATTACTTAAAAACCAGGGAATGGAGAGATGGCATAGCAGTTAAGAGCATGTCACTGTTCTTGCAGAGTGCAGAGTTTAGTTCCCAGCTCCCAGACTTGGTGGCTCACCACTGCCTTTAACTCTAGGCTCCAGGGGATTGAATGCCTTGGCCTCCACAGGCATACACATACACGAATGTAATTAAAAATTAAACAAATCGCCCAGGACTGGTGACACAGCCCATCATCACAGGTAATAAGGAGTTCAAGGCCTGTCTGAGCAACAGAGTGGGCTCAAACCAGTCTCAATCACTTAGCAAGACCTTGTCTTTAAAAAAAAAATATATTGAAGCCTAGAAACGTAGCTCAGTGGTACGTCACATGCTCAGTATCCAAGATGTCCTGGACTCAATCTTCAGAACCACAAAAACTAAACAAATCTTAAACAACAACAACAACAAAAAGTCTTGATATAAATACAGTGAAACTTGCCTATGCAGCATGAATGGGAGAGCCACAGTATTGAATTTGACTCTGTATCCCTTAAACATTGTAGAAGTGTAGGTAATGAAGGAAGATAAAGGAAATTTATAATCCTACACTAAAGCAAAATGAAGAGCAAGTGAAAATGCAGTGTTTCATTTTAATGAACATCCCTTGAACTCCCTCCAGATAGCTTTTGCTCACTTTATCAAAATCTATCAAGTGGTAGTAAAAGGCCAGACACTGCCACGTGCAATCAATAAAGGCACCTGTATAGCAATGAGGAGGACATGCTCATGAACACTTTGCCATTTCCTTGCCTGTTAGTTGTGTTAAGAAAGCAGAGAATGAAAGAGTCCCTGGGGACACTTAACGCAAGGCCCCGCTTATGGCAGGAGGATGTCAGAGCAACCCACGTGGGGAAACACTTGACCCCACTGTGGTTCCCCAACTGACAACTGCTTAGAAGGCCTTCAGCAATATTTCTAGAAACCACAGCCTCACTTCTTTGCTCAGTCCTGACCCAACACTTCACAACAGCCTGACATACAAAAATGGTGGAAGTCAAGACCCGACGCCAGACTTCAGAGAGGTCTTACCTTCCTCCCAAGTTCCTTAGCAATGGCATCCAGAATCACCTTATGGTGTGCAAACACTAGAAACTTCTCTCGTCCACTATCCAAAAGGTCCAGGATATATTCGCTGCATTCGACAATGATAACAAAGCAGATTAAACATACAGTTGCAGTTGGTTCCCCAAAGTGATATTAAAACCCTACAGGTACCTGCCCCCTCCTGCCCATCTTCCCCCTTTCTGGGAGCCTCTCTTTCTCCTTTTCGCTCACACCAGATCATATGGTCAGAGAACAAGGGGGAAAACAATTTTCTGTCATGTGTAGAAAGTTTTCTATCTCTAGTCATCTTACATACACAAGCAGTTCTCTGTAAGGAACAGCTCCATGTGTGTCTGCTATGTTACTATGTGGGATTCACATCATGCAGGCTACTAAGATAATCGTCAACTTTCATGTTAGTCATTGTTTAATCTGCTTTCACTCACAGAGCCACGTCCCTCTCTTGGCCCAAAATCATTGCTTTAAAACATGAGCGACAGCAAGAGGCGAACAATGGCACCCACTTACATGACACAAGGGATTTTAGCTTCTGCCGTTCTGTTGAAGAAGACGATGAGAGCTTCTTTCTGCTGCTGTTTCTGTGAAAAGAAAGAACAAGAGTTTAAAAACCCACCCCCAGTGCTCTGGAATAAGCTGACCCAACTGGAAATACCCTGAGCTTTCCCCATTTAGCAATTGCTCTATTCTAGTACATTTCAAAACTGTACGATTCCAATTCTTGTTTTAAGACACATGTATTAGGCTGGAGAGATGGCTCAGTGGTTACACTGGTTGCTCTTCCATTGGACCTGGGTTCAATTCCTAGCACTAAAGTGGCGTGGCTGATGGGCATTTGTAACTCCCGTCCTAGGAAATCTGACGCTCTCCTCTAGCCTCCACAGGGACCAGACTCACACGCAGTACATAAATATACATGCAGACCAATAGCCCATACACATAAAATAAAATAGAGTGGTGAGGACGGGGCACTGGCTCAGCCGCTCAGAACACTCGTCACTCACGCAGAGGAGAGGACCCTACTTCTGATTCCCAGGACCCGTATTGTGGCTCACAACCATCTCTAACGCCCGTTACAGTGCACCCAATGCTCTTCCAATCTCTTTGGGCATTAAGTATGTACATGGTGCACAGATATACAGAAAACACTCATGCATAAAAATATAAATAAATCTAATAAATTAAAAAATATTTGCTTATTTAAACTTCTATCTAGTTATATACAAACATATTTTATATAGAAAGTCATATAAAGTATATAAAGTACATAAAGTATATAATATATAAAGTATATAAAATGTTTTATATAGAAAGTCCATGTATAGGACGTAGACACACTCACACACACTGTTTGTTTTCTGAGACAGGGTTTCTCTATGTAGTTCTGGCTATTCTGGAACTCTCTCTGTAGATCAGGCTGGCCTCAAACTCAGAGCTCTGCCTACCTCTGCCTCTGGAGTGCTGGGGTCAGAGGCATGTGCAACACCACTTGTCCAGAAATATACTCTTAAAGTAATACACAAATGTGGGCAGGAGAGATAGCTGCTAAGCCTCATGACCAGCGTTCAGTCCCTGAAGTCATAAAGTAGAAAAATAGGACCAACAAGTCCTCTGATTTCCACTGTGTTGTAGCATGAATATTGGCCCCCAACATAATAAATAAGTGTAATAATATCTTAATACAAATGTTTCATGCAAAAAGTATATGAAATCAAAGATAATTATTTTAATAGAAGGGTGAAGAAATAACACTACTTATGTATAGTGAGAATTTTGAAGTTTGATTTCTTTAAAAACACAGAAGTATTGTAAGAATGTGTTTTCGTTTTAATCCTAGGTATGGGAATATGGGCTGCTTCGAAGCAGCTGTCCATAATTTCCCTTGTGCACTGATGGGGGCATGATTTTGCAGATAGTTTCTGTGATTGTGTGGGATTTCTGGGGAATTCTGGGGACTTTTCAGAGGGTGTATAAATGCTGGGACCCTAAGAGAGGTGGTGGGCTGTTGTTTGATTGTTGTTGATTGCAGTCTGTTGAGTAGTCGTGCTCAAAGAAGAAAAAAGAAATTAGATATACTGACAATGAAGATCAAACTTGCTCCAAGGAGCTTGATTCTCCTAATCATCAGGAAGTCGTCTAACAATAACATCACCCCCTTTCCAGCCCTGGACTCTATTCAGGGATCTCTTCCCTTTCCTCTCTATCCTTTTTCTCTCATATCTAGTGTTGTGGGGTTGAAAGGGAAAACAAGAAGGGGTGGAGAAGGGTTGAAGGAAGAAGAACCCACAAAGCAGCAAATGCCGGTTTCAACTATCACCATGCAGTACTCTAAGAAATATATATGTAGTAACTCAAAAATGAAGATTGCTGTGAAGGAGGCCTCCACTACACAGATGAGGAAAGTAAAGCAAAGCACTGAGGTAGTTTCAGTTGTTGCAGTTCTGCTAAAAAGCAGAGGTAGAAAACTGTAGTGTTTCTAGGGCTCAAATACCTGGGCCTGGAACCTGATGGTGGGAATTCAGCAGCCAATTCATATAAAACACCATGCCCAGCAGTCACAAGCGGTCAATAAATGCCACTTAATATGAGTGTTTTTCTTTACACAGCAGACATCTATTATATTATTGACATTACTGTATTTTCTTTTCCTCTTTTTGCAATGCTGGGGATTAAACCCAGGAACCTGCACGTGCTAAGCAAGACTCCACCACTGACCTGCATCTCCAGCCATGGTATATTTTAATGTGAGAGAAAGCAATAGATTTATCTTTAAGAAGAAAAGAAGCCTTTCTCAAACTGAGTAGACATCATAGCATCCATTAATTATCGAGCCTTTTCTGGCTATGGGGAAGGGATTTTTAAACAACTTGTAGTCTTTGTTCCTGACTCCTAGACTCTTATTAAAATAGATGCACAGGGGTTTTCAGATTTCTTTTCTATGTTGGAAATTTGAATGGACTGCCAACTGACAAGGGAGAAGGGAGGCTGTCACTGGGACTCGGCGTGGGGCTGCTTCATTTTCTTGCTTCTTTTGCTGATCAGAAACGAGCTGTAGACAAAGGACCATTATAACCAGCTTTCCTCAATGAGCAAAGCTTTCATTACAACAGATTTTAATAAATGGCTGCTTTGCTTTCTCTTTTCTATACAAAGGTTATGATAATGTCTTCCTGATGGAAAGGTTTGAAAGAACAAAGAAACAGTCCTTGACAGACAGGCCAGTGGTGCCTGTCGGAGCAACCACGATGTGGGCTGAAAGTAATGGTAACAGGGAGCTTTCTGCCGAGCCACAAGTCTCATTTGACTATATCCATGCAAACATGATGCTGTTTAAGCTCATGAACTAAGAGTTTTGTCTGTGGTCACCCAGTCCACTGGCCAGCCACTGCTGGTTCCCCTCCCTGAATGAAGTTAAACATTTGATTTTCCTGAAGACTGCAGGGGATGGACAGCAGATCTCAGGGGCTGGATGGAAAAAAGCTCTCGGCTGTATGCTCGAAGAACTTTACCACAGCACAGACTTCATGTTCATCATTTCCCAAGGGGAGTGACCACTCCTCGGTATCTAAGGCAAGGGTGATGGTCACCAGCGGGCAGAGCTAGAGGCAACCGACACTATCCTTATGCACCTCCAGCCCCCTGTCCTACATGTGGCCACATTAAAATATCCCCTCAAATGTGGCTGCTTAACATTATGAAATGCCCAACATTTCTAACTGCCATGACTTACCTTAAATTTCACTAGTATTATTTTATTAGTTAGGTATGAAGTCAACCTTTAGGCTGCGTATGAAATAACACGTGGGATTATACACCACACTTACAGAGCCATGTACACTGGTGCAGGTTAAAAAGCTGCTCGAACAACTTGCTGACCTAACTACAGTCCCCGGTGCTTATTTCCTCTTTTTCCCTCTTGGCTGCCCTGCCCATCAATGTGATTTTCTTCCTCCATTCAAATGCTCATTAATTGTTTTCTTGGTTTCTGTTTTTCAAGACAGGGTTTCTCTTGTGTAGCCTTGGCTGTCCTGGAACTAGTTCTGTAGACCAGGCTGGCCTTGACCTCAAGAGATCTGCAGTGCATCTGCCTGCTAAGTGCTGGGATTAAAGGCCTGCACCTCCACCACCCGGCTGTTCTTGTTCTCTCTCTGTGTCTCTCTCTCCTCTTTCTTTCTGGTTTTTCTGCTTGTTTGGTTTCTATGCCAGATGTTCTCAAGCTACTTCCAAAGGCAGGCCAGGTACAAACAAGAAACACTAATGGCCTCACTCCAGTCACACCTACAACAAACCATCATACTAGCAAAAACAAAACAAAACTGTATCTTTGGATCTAAAAACCCTGCATGCCTGAATTCTCCTGGTTAACATTATGATTGCTGCCCTTGTTGGTCAGGCATTAGGGGCAGTCCTTTAATCCCAGCGTCTAGAAGGTAGAAGCAAGTGATCCCTGTGTGTTCCAGGCCATCCAGGTTTATCTAGTAAGACCCTGTCTAAAAAGCAAGCTCTGGGCTGAGGGTGAGCTCAGTGGTAAAGCACACATTCAGCATGAGCAAGGCTCTGGGTTTAATCTACAGCACTCCCCTGCCCCCAACCAAAAAAAAAAAAAAAAAAAAAAGAGAAGGAAGAAAGAAAATACTTAAAATTTATAACGTTTTTATTTACTGACTTATTTGTAGAAATCAGCAAAAGACCATCAAGATTGATGTTTGTTGACAGAGCATTGTTCTAACTAGGCATGGCGGCCAAAATCTGCAGTCTTGGCTGTCAGGAGACAGAGACACGAACACTGTAAGTCTGAGACTAGCCTGGGCTACAAGCAAGACTTTGTCTCAAAAGAAAAAAGAAGCCACTAACGCCACAACAAAAGAGCATGGTCCATTATGTCCACATCAATGGAAAACTCCACCCAGAGAATAGCGCTCCCTTTCTGTGGGGTATTCAGGGTACCGCATGCAAAATTCTGCACACATGAAATATGGTATGTCAACTCACGAGGGCTTCCTCCGTCCTGCCCAATTTCTTAAAAGCATTGGCCAGTCTTGCTTCTCCCACCATAAGCAACACTGAAAACACTGCACATTTTGTCTCTTGCTGTTTCTGTTTAAATCTGTCACTTCACAGAGGCTGAGATGGCAGCAGTGTCTGACTGCCTTTGTTCGGGGGACTATCAGGGCCCAGCCGAAGCTCTGTGACGATGTGAAAAATTATCTGTGGCTATGTATTTTCTTGCTAATGAAAATTAAAGGGCTTTATCCCAAAAGACAAAAATAGAGCTGGTACGGATTCTTCGTGGCACTATGGATGCCATGAAAATGAAGGAAGAGTCTGAAATAAAAGCCAGCCAGCAAGTGTGTCCTGTGTGCAGCTCAGAAGATCTGTATCTAAGCTCAGCTCTGTAAACACCAATTCCAACCCCTCCCAACCCAAAATGCATGGCACAGGCTCACACCAGCATACGCACATGCTTCCTATACACACACACATACAAACACACACACATACACAGACTAGGTCAGGTGAGGAGTGAAATGGGCTGTCTCTTCTTGCTCAGGGAGGCAGAAAAGCTCATGTAAAGCTGAGTTCAAAGACTCTGGACCACGTGCACAGAGCAGCTTTCAGATGGGCACCCGAGGATGCACCCGTTCCACAGTCCCCACTCACTGTCTTGTCCGTGGTCATCTCTTTGGCTGCTGCATCCAGGGCTGCCTTGGCCCTCTTGCTGATCCGACCAGGGTTAACCACCACCATCTTGCGTTGCTTGGCCGGAAGCTGGGAAAGGACGTCAGATTTGAGCCGCCTCAGCATGACTGCCTCCTCCAGCAGCAGTTTCAGCTCGCCCAGGTTGGAGGAGCCCGAGTAGTCCCAGCCCCAAGACAACTGAAGAGAAAGACGACTTCTGTTAGCCTAGGACCTCCAGATGGCACTGTTCTCCTAGCACCCTGAGTGAGCTTCAAGAGAAGGCTTCAAGACTCAGTGAACCTCAGCTGAGACAGATGAGGGGAGAAAGGACGTGAAAACAGCCAGGCATGAGAGAAGCCAAGCACTCTTGTTACAGCAGCGCACAATGCATACAACATTTCCAGCAGTTTAAGTGACTTGAAGTTTCAGGGTTCGAAGAGCCCAGAACATGTTTGTGCTGGTGTGGCTGAAACCAGGGCAAAGTTTTGGAGTGCCCAGGCCATCCCTCATTCCATGGTCCCTGGCTGGGAGGCTGAGAGCTCAGCTCCTTTTCTCTCTCATAGAGCTGGAGAAGGTGTTAGAAACTAAAATAAAAACTCTGGCTGAGTATAAATGGGCGGTCATCGAGCATTTGCCTGGCACATATAAGGCCTTGGGTTTGAACCCATCAGAGCAATCAACTGACCAACAGATCAATCAATCAGTCAATCATCAATCATCAATCACGTCCTAGCCTTCTCTAGTAATCTTACTAGAGATGGGACTGATCTCTATGTAGGATACCAGGGAGCAAAGGGACTTTTCTGCTCTGCCTGGTCACAGCCCAGTGCCTTCCTGCCTCACCTTCCCCTGGACCATGAGCTGCCTGAGGTGGGAAGCTCACTTTAGAGGGGTCAAGGACAGAGCATAGTGCTGGACACAGGGAGAGTTTCTGCTAAACTGGAAGAAGAAAAAGATGGTCAAGGCTAGGGAGAGAAATTGGTCCAGTGCTGTTTTTTTTTTTTTCTAAAAAAAAAAAGCAAATTCAAGGGGCGTTCTGAGCAAATGCCTCTCGACAGCCACTGGGTATCAGAGTTTGGCACAGGTGCTCTCTGGGCTACACTTAAACAATCTCGGGAAGGTATGCATATCTTAATTAATCTGGGTATCTTCCCCCCAGGTTTAATAGTCTAACCTCTTCACCTTGTAGGTTGAAACCGAATAATTCTAGAGATTTAAAACTGGAATAATCACATTGTAACAAGGTCACTGGCAGTGCACTGGGTGGAAAGAAGGATAGAAGGAAGACGGTTTGTTGAGGGGAGGAGAGTGGGGTGGAAAGGAAAATAAGCGGGACTTCGAAGATGGTGCCTCACAGTGTCAGAGACAGGGGAGGAACAGCCAGACACTGGGGACATAGGAAGGGGTGGTCGGAGTGAGAACAATGAACTCCACCTTATTCCTTCCCACTCATGTTATCTACAGACTTGGCTAGTCGAGGGAGGAATCCTGTTCAGAAAGCAGATCATTTGCCAATAAGACAGAGGTAAGAATCATGCAGGCGATGTACAGCAATCTGCTCTGGAAACAATCCTGAGGAGCGTGAGCTGCAGGCTGTGTTAAGGAAGTAGATGGCTTTTAAACATATTTGACAACTGAGGATCCCATCAACAACCACCTAGCAAAACAGTCTGCCATTAAGTCTGCAAAGGCACTGGAGTTTACACTGTATGTATTTTGTGAATGAATGAAAATGCTTTTTAATATCTGAAGTTTTTTTTTATATTAAAAGTAGTTTCAAAATATGGGAAACAATCATAAATTCACAGGGCAGGGATGCCCACTCATGGACTGTGAATAATTGCAGCCATTTTTCCAAAGTGTCAGTGTCTCTGCTGCAAATAGGGGCTCGGTATATTTTTTATTTGGTCATAAAACAAATGACTATGGTCTGAATTGTCGAGGGTTTATAAACAGCGATAACGCTTTCATTGTATTTCTGCTTGCAGTACTCTCTGCCATCGTTGGAGAACTGGAGCTGTGCAGACAGCACTTTGGAATCATATTTAGAGGGGTGACTTGTGAATCAGGGGCAACTATCCCCTGAGAGTCAGACTCAGAGAGACACCCTCCCAAGCAGCTTGAAATCATGTTCTGTTCTATGTGCTCCAAGGTTCTCTGTGGTCTGTCGTAAGAAAGGACTTCCTTTCAGGCCAGAAACCCTCATTATTTCCTCTTCTTTCTTGGATCCTATGTGGGCTCCCTCTAACCTGCCTCAGTGCCTTTTCTGGGGCTGTTTGTGGCTTGGACTTTCCTTCTCCAAGTCTTACACAGGAGCTATAAGCTGGACCCAGACAACACCACTTGGAGCCCTACACAGCTATGCAGTAACTGCTGGACCTCTTCCTGGAAAATGCTACCTAGAATCACCTCAAGTGTTAAAACATGGAAGAACAGACGTCATCTTGCCTTTGAAAGTATCCAAACATCAGAGTCAGAGGCAAACTACAGAAAAATTTTCATTTGGTTTTCTGGTCCATTTCTTAGTTCATGCCAATGAGTAGAAAGAAAAATGTCAACATGAGGGTAATAGGAGGCTATGGAGATTAAGAGAATGAATACCCGCTTGGCATCACAGTAGCGACGACCAAAGGCATGAAACTGAGGGAAGAACGTTGGCTTGACAGCGATGATCTGTGTGTAGAGCTCTGCAGGCCGGGACATGGCTGGCGTGCCTGACAGGAGAATCACCCTCTTGGCAATCTAAAGACAAAACAGCCAAAGATGCTCTCAACATAGTGGGGAGGAAGTGTTAGGGACTGCTACCCCCCTGCAGGATTCCCTAATACAAAATATCAAACATGCCACAATGAGGCAGCAGCTGGATCCCCCCATACCCCAGGAAAAGCAAAATCCCCCAGGCTGCAGCAGCTCCATTTTTCATTTCCTGGGCTGACTGTTGGCTGTTCTCCACTGTGTGTGTGTGTGTGTGTGTGTGTGTGTGTGTGTGTGTGTGTGTGGTGGTACACAAGCAATCTGGGTACTGGGAACCAAGTTCACCTCTTTGGGAACAGCAGCAAGTACTCTTCATCTCTCCAGTCCATTTTCAACTTTAAACATCTCAGATCTTTCCTTTACCAAAGATGGCAAAGATAAATCTCACTCCAGAACTGTGTGGTCTCTAAATCAGGGTACTCTAGCCAGAGAAACCAAGGTATGTTGCAAAACCCAAATGCTACTTTTGATGCAAGCAGCCAGATGTCATCTGTCATTCCTTCAGTACCCCCTCGCTGCTGTCATAGCACTTGTACCTCCTGAACTCCTTTTACTGTGGCCCTCACTCATTTCTTGAGATTGTGATGGCTATTCTTGGTTGTCAATGTGACTACATCTAGGATTAACTAAAACCCAAATGGTTGGGCACACCTATGAGGGTTCTGTTTTGTTTTTCTTAAATAGATCATTTGAAGTGGTAAACCCACTTCTAACCCAGATCTTTGAGCTGGAATGATATATCTTTTATCTGGGCCACATCTTCTGCTGGCAGCCTACATAAGGAACAGAGAAGAAGGATCCTCTCTCTTTACTTGTGTGCCCTCACTCTCTCTAGCAAGTCCATTCCTTCACTGGCCTTAGAGCCTACTTTTTCAGGATTCTGGTGTATACTGAGGACCAGCTGAGACATCCAGCCTCGTGGACTGAACAACTACTGGATTTTTGGACCTTCACTGGTAGACAGTCATTGTTGGATTAGCTGAACCACAGGCCATAAGCCACTTTAATAAATCCTATATACATACATACACATATAAATATAAATATATATATATGTGTGTGTGTGTGTTCATTCTAGAAGTTCTGTCCCCCTAGAAAACCCTGGCTAATACAGAGATCAAGGACTGGGCTGCATTCCTACTTACTTTCTGTAGCACTCTGCATCTGGCACAAAGTAGGTAATCAATCAATGTACACTACATGCTGAGAAAAATTCAGAGGAAAGCTAGTTAGTGTTTCGGGGAACACGAAGTAAACACAAGGGACCCAGCACTGGAACGGAGCAGAGGAGAGATCAATAGGCCTGGATTTCCTGTAGGGCAGACTTCTGATATGAAAGTCAACTTTACAAAATGACTCTGTTAGCACCAAGAGGAAACGACAGAGGTAGTCTGCGCAGAAGCCTCTGTCTGAGGTCTTAAACTCTGCTGTGTATGTTATACGTCCATGTTCGCATGGGTGTGTGCATGTGTATACAGGGGCGCACATGTGTGATGTGCATGGAGGCCAATGGTCTGTGCCTCGTGTCTTCCTCATTCACTGTGCTTTATTTTTTGAGACAGGGTCTCTCATCCAGTTGGCTAAGCCTGCTGGCCAATGAGCTCCAGGTATCTGCCTGACTGCTCAAAGCCCTGTGCTGGGGTCCAGACTCGGGTCTCTGTGCTGCTGCAGGACACACGTAACTCATTGATTCCCTTTGGAAAGGAAAGAAGTCTTTGTTAACGTCACTGTACTTCAAGACTCAAGCTCATTTTGTTGTTAGGAAGAACTTGAAATGATGGCACTCGGATCGGTTGACGCAACTCAGCCTGGGAGTGCAGCAGCCTGCTCTGCAGTGTGCACAGTTGGCTGATCCAATGAGGATTCCCAGTTCCTCGCTTCCCGGAGTCAGACCTGACCCAAGGAGATCACACCCAGATCACACCTCTCAAGGAGATGGGGAGAGCCTGAGATCAAGAGACTATACTGCAACTGGAGTGTCAAGTGGCTACAGCTGTGAAGAGGTAAAGTTCATGAAGCCTTGGAAGAGACCCCCCCCCCCCAACGGAGCTCAGCGGCCTAGAAATTGCTTGTTAGCCATGGTAACCTGGAGTTAGGCAGTAATACAAGGCAACTGCATGAACTAAGTGTCTAAAGGGAGGAAAGTACACTGACTCGTAAAATTAACAAATAAAGGTGAAACTGTGGGAAGAAAGAAGATTCCTCACAAATACACAACACATACAATTCTCAAAGTGAACTTCTGCCCTCTCAGCCACTGCCCGTATCTAAGCCCGCTCTGATAGCAGGGCCAGGAATTTCTCAGGCTACCATTTTCCACAGTTTAGTCCTCATTGGGGCCTATAAGTTCCTGCACAGTTTAATGCAGCCTCGTTGATATAACAACGGGAGTCCTGAATGATGTCTGCACATCATGTGGCTTTAGCCAATTTCAGGAAAGTGGCAGCAGACTAAAAGGAAAAAGTGGAAATGAAAAGTTTCATCAATAGGAAATATCCCCTCCCCACCCCCCATCATCCTGAATCCACTCTCTGTGTTTGCCTGGAATGGAAGCTGGGCTGAACCAGCTCCCAGGCAGGTGGCAGAATCAATAGTCACTGAGTTCTCTCATACACTTCCCAAGCTGGAGTGATGAGAGAAGGAGAAAGGAGGAGATGTGGGTGTGGAAAAGCAGAGGCTTACTGCAGAAATGAAAAAGGCTGGCTTTCAGAAAAAAACCAGAAAAGCATTTCATCTGTCATGGAATGACCTGCTCCCTGCTCAGACCCAAAACTGCGGTCAGTCATCTACAAGGCCTTTGATCTGTGCCCACTTGAAAACAGTTGCTATGCTTGGTCTATCTCTGAGAAAGCCACACCTAGGGAAATTAAAATGTATAAAGTGACATAAATCGATACTAACTTAAAATACTGTATGGTCAACTCCCCTGGCTTAGGAGACGGCAGCACCTGAGAAAAACAGTGGGGGGACAAAAAAAAAATCCCGAGTGCTGCTGGGAAGGTACTGCAGTTCCTCAGAACGGAGGGTCAGAAGCTCTGCAGGATCCTCAGACGCAGGGCAAGTCAGGACATATAATGCACCAACAGAATGCTTCACAGTTAACCAAAGCAGGTAAGCTACACATAGATTTTAAAGTGTGAGTCTAGGGATGTTCAGAGTAAAGAGCTGGGGTTGTTTCAAGTCCACACAACAAACAGCCCAGAAGTTATCACTTTCCATTCACTGTACCCCTCCAATTAAGCCAATAACTGGCTTTGCTGAACTATTCTGATTGTTAAAACTTTCTCCAAGGAAACAATACCATGTTCCCCAAAGTTAAGGTGCCCAAGCTCTTTTGGCTTTTCGAGACAGGGGTTCTCTGTGTAGCCTTGGATGTCCTGAAACTCACTCTGTAGACCAGGCTGGCCTCAGAAATCAGAGATCTGCCTGCCTCTGCCTCCCCAAGTGCTGGGATTAAACACGTGTGCCATCATGCCTGCTGAGTCCCATTTTTATAGCCAGTGTTATCTCCCAACACTTGAAATAAAGTTATGAAACATATGCCATTTAGAGTAGGGTGTGCAGGTAATATCAAAGAGAGGGTCATGTCTGCACTGCCTGAGTTCCAGTCCTCCTAACCTTGATGCCATGTGGCACTGTGAGCTATTGAGTTTCCACTAGTTCACAAGTCATTCTAGAACCTTCACAAATAATGTTTAGAATCAATAATCTTCAAATACTGGCAACCCTCCTTTGGAGTCAAGTGACCAAAAATACCCATATCAAAACCAAAAGCAGGCTCACAGCCACTCCCCCAGGAGGAAGCAAGCTTGATTTCCCAGTGGGTGAATGGAAGGCCTGAAAAACCTAGAGATGTTCCTGCCATATTCCAAAAATGCTACAGGGCACCACCGTTAAAAAGCTGATCTACAATGCAGTGCCCCCATACTTCATTTTGTTTGTACCTGCTTGTATCTCTATACCACGTACCTGCAGAGGCCAGCACTGGATCTCCTGGAACTGGAGTCACCACATGGGCTCTGGGAATAGAACCCAGGTCCTCTGCAAGTCCAGCTGGCGCTCTAACTGCTAAGCCATCTCTCCTGGCCAACACAGACCTCTACACTAAACCAGTATCATTGCTCTCTATTATTACAATTTGGATGCCACAGTCGAAGATCAGTTAGAATGAAGACTGTGACTCCAGGCATTCGGAATGAACATACAAAGATGCTATAATGAGAATACAATGCACAGTATAATCATGACTTATTACAGTTATACAAGTCTGAGCTTTAAAGCTTGTTGATAGGTATTAAGATAGCATACATAATAAAATGAAATACTGAGGTGTATTTTTTTCTTGGAAGAACAGTCTCCCCAAATAGTAGACTCCAATAATTTCCCTTTGAAGCCTTATTCTGTAATGAACTTGAGGAAACAAGAATGGTTTGACGCAGGGAACCTCTTTCTGTAGCTTTGCCATCCCAGAGGTGAAAAGAGGTCTACCACTGAACACCCTTCTCCCCTGTGGTCTGAGAAGGGCAAGACGCCTTGGTCTCAGATACAGACTGACTGCAGCTTTCCTAACCCTCTACCCCTTCTGTATCCCGGGAAAAGATGGTCACCGCAGAGCTATACATAAAAGCTTCAGTTTGGGGCCAAATCCAAGGAGAAGAGAGGATACACACCTTGACAAACTTTATACAACAGAATGCTCTGTGGAAGAATGAGGGAGTCATTTGCAATGACATGGAATTATTCAGGATGCACAATTAATAAGTATAAAGCAGTGGTTGTTATAAAACTAGGTGTGGGGAATGGATGAAGTCCTGAGTGTGTTTTGTTGACGTGACCATGGCCATGTCAAGGATCCCAGTGCCACACACACCAGTGGCAAAGCCTTCCCTGGTTTAGGCTTAGGGAAATGGCAAAGCTGTCCCCTTCTCCAACGACTGATGTTAAGAGGATTGACCTTTAGCTAAAACCAATGTATAAAGAAATTATTA